GTGTGGATTTTGGTAACTGAAACATTATAAAATATTTTAGTAATATATTAGACAAATGTTGTATGTAGATGAGGACTCGTTGTACAGTTCACCCTGAGGACTGAAATCTAACATGTTTAAGTTATGAAAGAAAGATTTCGTTCTTTAGGGATAACTGTAAAACCGAGCATAATTTTATAAGTACCTCAATTATATGCAAATCTAGTAAACTGTTGGAATTTACACTGAATTCATCCTTTGCCACTTCAGTACCTTCCAGATCTCTGGCACTATAAGAAATCTTTAAGTTTACATTTTTAAGATTTTTGTATATTTCTGAAAATTTCACCAAGGCTTCCATGCCCACTACAGTGTCGTAAGATGATGTAAAGCCTCCATTAGCATTACGTTGTTCTATGAGCCACTTTAAGATTGAAGTATGGTCTCCGGGAGTTTCCAGCAGAGCCATTGCTGAATACGCTGTAATTTCTATATCATCCGCCAGGTTTTGATCATTTGCAGACCACCACTTGAGACCGTTACGCTCCTTACAAAGTGGGTTCAATTGGTTTATTAAAGACTTGGCACTAGGATGTTTAGCACGTTTAATAGCAGTTGCTATCAATGATAAGGCATAAATATCCTGGGTATTGTTCAAATTTGAAGTTAGAAATTCTACACCATTTTGTATATTCTTTGCATATTGCGTAGCATATTGCTAAAATTGGAAAAGGAATTAAGAATTTTTCTCATAATTGATCAAAATCCTTTATATACTTACTTCATTCTCTAAAAACGCCAACAGTATGAAGGCTGTAAGTCCATATGCATTTTTATGTTTAGGGTTTAATAAATAGCCCGTATAAGGAAACTCTCCATTGGATTTTTGCTGACCGGACAAATACTCCAATGCAGATTCAATTACTCTTGTTTCAATTGATATAAATTGCGAAGCTTTAATAAAGTAACGCACCACGTAGGCGGTTAACCAGGTATTGGGCTCCTCATCGGTATCCATGCCAAAGACGCTGTAACCACCATTTTCATGACGAAATGATAATTGTTGTTGGTAAGCGACTTCTATTGATGAACGCAGACTTTCAACTAAACCCTTCTCTTTCATTAATTTACCATTTGCTTTGAAATATTGCAAAATTAAGATTTCGGGAGCAAAATTAACCATATTTTGCTCACCACAGCCGGTGGGCATTTGTATTAGATCATTGAAATTCTCCACTGTGGGCACTAGATAATGACCACCCACAGAAAATGTGATGTAATCGGAATCGGGTACACTATCTAATGGATCTTTAATACTAAATGAGGATGATATTTTCTCCCCTGCCGGAATACTTAAATAAGAAGCTTGATTAATTTGTTTAGGCACACCTTCTGGTTCAACTTTAAGTTTCTGCAAAACGGCATCCGAATATGTAGAACTTGAGGCTGTAATTTTAAGACTTATTTCACCGGTTTTTATGGGATATATTAGAAATTTCACTGTCTTGGCTTTATCCTCTGGCACAGTAATTTGCTTCATTTGCTGTTGATCATCAATTGATTTTGCTACACCCTGCATTGTTGATTCCATAAAAACGAACTCTCCGTCATTATTATGTAGAATCACTTTTGTGTCAAAAGTCTGATTGGAATAATTAAATATTGTTATGGGTATTGTCACAATTTCACCACGTTTCACAGAGTTTTGAAGATTTAGCGAAATGAAAAAGGATTGTATGGTTGTAATATCTGTGGGTCCATTTACTATGCCAAAACCTGTTATATGGTGATTTGAAAATGCCGTTATACGCCAAGTGGTTATGGTGTCTGGTATTTGAAGTGTTAATTTGGTCTCGGTATCGTTGCTGTAGGGCAAGTGTTTCAATATTTTTAATTTTAAAAATTCTTGAAAAATTACTTACATTAAAAAATTATCAAATATCCAGGTCTCTGGAAATTTTTGACGAAAACGAAGTGAATATGGTTTTTGAGCTACTGGTGATACTCTTACCGTCAATATTTCATACGGATAATGAGCATTTGTTAAAGTCACCAGCCCAGATGTTAATCCGGGATATACCATAGCCCAAGGTAGGGGAGTATATGAAATTTCATGATTCAACTCATCTAAAATATCGTTCCTATCTAGGTCATATGAATTATCTAATAAATATACACCCAAATCCACTGCCAATATACTGACATACGACTTAGGTTGAGCATTTAAAGCAATTGTAACTTCTTCACCGGGCTTGACTTTTTTGGGTGCGGACAGTGTAATCTGAAAATAGAACTAGTTACTTTTATATACTTTTGAATTATTATTAGTTCCAAATTGATACCTGATTTTCGAATTCAAAGGGAAAACTCAAACGCATTTCTTCATAATGTAATTTGCCTTTGTGTACGTAATACACATAAATAAAAGACGTGGGTATCATTTCAATTGAGGGTGTAATGGTTATGATATGCGACTTTTGATTGGACGGTACTTTAATGTGCTCCGTATGTATGAGACTGGCATGACCCATTATAGTGTACATCAAATAAGGAATGTTGACAATAGAACTGACCTCAATTTGAACGGGTTTTCCAAGTTTTAGTCTAAAATTAAATGATTTCTCGAGAGTGAAATCTGTGTTTCTTGAAATCTTAAACATATTCTTACTTTTGATCCACCAACTTAAGTCGACAATAGTATTCTCTGTTATTTAACATTAAATTTTCATTTGTGTAAATGTTGTATAATTCTTCCTTGGAATCTTTGAATTTAAAATAATGATTGGCATTTGGATCGTGTTCAAATTCAAATGTTGCTACACCGTTTCCATCCAAAAATGATTCATATGTTTTATTGCCATGTTCCATGATAACTGGGGTACTGTGATCCAAAACTGCTGCGCCAGACCAATGTTTAACATAAACACTCAGCCGATAAGGTTTATTATTTTCAAATTCTATTTCATCATATGGTACATCTAAGTCATATCGTTGTTTACGTAAATTTATATCTTTCTTTTCTTGCACAGTTCTACCTGTGTGCTTATCGGTTAGTTTTACCTTGACCTTTAGAGTGTTGGTGTTATTAAGATTCGTTTCATTCTTAATATTGAACTCAACGAAACTTAAACTTTCTATATCAACATGTTTGGTTTGTAGAACCACTGAGTCATCCCACAATTCCACTGTGGCATTACCTTCTACATGTTTGTCAAATGTATATTTGCCAAAGATCACAACTTTAATATAACCATCCTCTAGAACAACATTCGATGGGGTTTTTAGATATACACTGAATTTTGGTAAAGTGTAGTCTAATATTTGTATACTTTTAGAGTTTGAGTAAGCATAGCTTCCACCTAGAACTGCTTTAATATCCCATGAGCCTAATATGGGATATTTGGACAATTTGAAATGTCCAGTAAAAACGCCATGTGTGAGCGTAATGTTATTAAATAGTTTAACGCGATTGTTTTCCTTATCCTAAATTATTATTATTTATTGCTTTAAATAACTGAATATGTAGATAATTCTCTCTAGACGATACTTATAGACTCTAGGCGTACTGGTTTTATTTTAACACAAAACTCACCCATATTTCTATGCTGACGGGATCCGTAATATTTAACGGTCTAGTATGTTCATCCAATATCAAAACTCGAAAATTAACTACATCTTGTGGTTTATAAATGGCCTTATCAGTTTGTATGTAAATTTTTGGACCATACTCTGGATAAGCGTTTAAAGTACTTTCGTTTTTAAAAATCAAACCGGATAAGCCTTCTGCTTTTAATTTGTAATCTCCAGACAAAAGTTTTTTGGGGAAAAATTCTATTAACTTCGTTTCGTATGGTTGCAAATTAACATCTTTAAACTCATTTAAGCTGGGTCCCTCAATGCCAATACGTATAGAACACGGTCCACTGGCCTCATGAAGAGCAGCAAAAACCGAATATTTACGATTTGATTTTATAACTCCGGGTGCATTTATGGAATAGTAACTGTCAAATAAACGAATTGAAGTTTTGAATTAAAACATTTTCCAACTAATATGTATATGATATACGACACCTTTCAGCATTTACTGCTAGAGCTATACATTTTATCAGCAAAAATTGATAGAGCAAATGGCGTTTCATTTTAAACTTAATTATTTAAAACAAATATTTTTATTATAATTATTTAAGCCGTTTCTAAAGACTGTTTAATATAATTTCGTATTAATAACTAAATATATTGAGAGAAACGAAGAAAGTGTCGGATGCTTTAAAAACAATCCATGTAGATACTTAATTAAACAAATATATCGAAATCTTCTGAATCAGTTATCAAGTTTTAATAGCTACCTGCAATATATATGGTAGTATGTTTTGACATTGTGTTTGTAACTCTTCGAATTATCGCTCTATATGTGAGTCAAACTAGTTCTATAACCACCAAAAATTCTACCTGTAATTCATGAGGTTCATTCTATATTTAATCGAAACCCCACAAAGAGGTAATATTTCAAAAACCTTTCTAATGCTCATAACAATATATTATAATTCTAGTAAATGATTAAATCGCGGTACAGACTTCGCTTCGTATACTAGTATGAATGTTATTTAATATTTTATTTTAATCAAATTTTTAATACATACCTTTAATTTAATAATAATTTTAACAGGTTTTTAAATATTAACACGACTAGTCATTTACACTAATTGTCTGAACAGAACAAGTTAACCAATGAACAAGACCAATTGTATACAGAGCCAATCGAATCGATAATAAACTTTAAATTTAACATTCGTGACGCACAGTGTTATAGGAAATCAAGTAAGGAGTCTATATTCGCCTTTGCCGAATAGTATATACCGTTCACCATAGTGTGATTAATTTTATTAAATTTGTTTTATTTTTTCCGACTCTTCCTTTATATTAGCAATAAGAAACAACCAATATTTAAGAATCGTTACTTTTGTTATTATCGAACCAATTTTCCAATTTATTAGATCTGTGTTGAATTTTACTATAATATATCGATATTAATATGAACATCAGGGTAATATTTGGAAGAGGGCCTTTAATAAGGACTTAAGTATGGAGCGTGTTCTTCGGAATTAAAAATAAAAAATTTTGTTGTTTTTGTCAAAATTTTCATGGGGGTAGGGTCAATTCTGGACCCATCCTTATCGGTTTATATAACAATTAAATAGCTGTATTCGTATCTTTAATTCAGTCAAGAGCTTTAAATTAATTTTCTGAAGAACCCCGTTTATGGAAGGTTGGATCAGTCATCGACCGTTCCTCATCAAATTCGGTAGAAAGATTTTGGTTCCTATAAAACTTGTTTATATCGAGTTTCATCACTGTTCTCGTATTTTTATTTTCTGATGTGGACCTTATATGGGGGCAGAGTCAAGTATGGACCGATTCTCATAAAAATTTGTAAAATTTTTAAACCTGTAATGAGCGTTAGAGTCATTTTCTGAGGGAGACCTTATATGAGGGGTAGGATCAATCATGGCGCGATACTCGTAGAATTTTATAGAATGATTTAAGTTCATACAAGTCTTGTTTATGTTGAATGTCATCGCTGTTCTCGCATTTATAAGTATAGAAGGGGACCATATAGGGGGTAGGGTCAATTATGGGTCGATTCTCATAGAATTTGGTAGAGAAATTTTGTCTCGAACAAAACTTATTCATGTCGGATTTCATCGCTTTACACGCATTTTTATGCCAGTAATGAGTGTTAAAGTAATTTTCTGAAGGAAACCATAAATGGGGGGTAGGGTCAATCATGGACCGATCCTCATAAAATTTTGCTAAAGAGATTTTGGTTTGTATAGTACTTGTTTTTGTATAATTTTATCGCTATATATTTAATCCAATTATAACTGTTAAAACTGTTTTCCGGGAGGCCACTTGTATATGTGCTATGCGAAAACGTCGATCGATATTGCCCATTTTGAATGCCAAACAACATGCATCTACATATATAAAAAAGAATGTGTGTTTGTATGTTTGTTTGTTTGGACTTTATAGGCAGCTAAACGGCTAGACCGATTTTTCTGAAATTTTCATAGTGTCTTCCTGTATGTTTGGAAGGAATTATAGGCTACTCTTTACTTCAAAATTGCTAGTGGGCGACTTGCCACACCCACATTCAAAATAAGTATTAAAAGTCGGATATCTCAGAAACTGCAAGTGATTGAGTCCTTAAATTTTGTATGGACAATTTTATAGTGGCCGTGGCACCTTCCATATGAAGAAAATCTTAAATTAGTATATTTGAGAAAATATAACAGATAGAGTCCTCGAATTTTGTCGGAACCACTTTAGTGTCAATATGATTATTTAAGGAAAAAGGGGGCGTACTAGCAGTAGGGGGCGTACTAGCAGTAGGGGTCGTACAGCAGTAGGGGGCGTGGCATCCCCATATGATTGAAATACAAAAATTCGCTTATCTCAGAAACTATTAGAGTTAGAACCTTAAAATTTTGCACGAAAACTTTAGCATCCATATAAAGATTTTGCGTAATAAATTGTTGAACTTCCAATGGGGGGCGTTGCTCCTCCCATATGAATAAAATATATAAAAATTCGTTTATATGGGAAACTTATAGAGCTATCTTCTTAAAATTTTGCACGAATAACTGTAATATTCATCTGAACATTTTGGGAAAAAAGGGCAGACTTTTACCAGGGGGGCTTGGAACCCCCATATGAATTAAATAGAAAAATTCGTATATTTGAAAAACTATTATAGCTAAAATCCTCAAAATTTGCAAGAACAACTTTAACATCCATGTGAACATTTGAGTAATAAGTTGGCGTTGTCGTTTGTCTGGGAACTAACAGATCTAATTTCTTCAAATTTTGCACAAAGAAATTTGGACATTTTGGGGAAAATGGACGGACTTTCATGTAAGAGAGAGGGGGGGGGAGTTTGTGTCCTCACATATGAATTAAATAGAAAAAAATGTCTGGGAAACTATTAGAGCAAAAATCCTTTGACATCAATGTAGACATTTGGGTGAAATTGGCGGACTAGCAAATTGGAACCTCCCATATGAAACTATTAGAGCAAGAAAACTTTACATGAAATACTTTGACATTCATGTGAACATTTAGAGAAAAATGGGCGGACTTTCAAAGGAACCTTGTCATCTCCTATGTGAATTAAATACAAAATTTCGTACATCTGGGAAAGTATTATATTATTAAAATTTTTCATAGGTTACATTAAATTCTAAATTAACGTTTGGAAAAATTGGCGAACTTGCAATAATTTGCGTGCCATTCCCAATATGTAAAAAAATATATATCTGTAGAACTATTATAGTTAGAATCTTCAAAATCGTAAAGTGTTTTTTGATAAACATTGATGTTAGTGTAGCAAAGCACACTGGGTATAGCTAGTAATAACATAATATTGTATTCTCAAAGCGTAAAGTCAATATCAAATTATATTTACCCCTTTTTAGATGACCCAATATGTTCTTCATTATTCTCTAAAAAAGCTAAAATCTCTCTAAAGGTCGGTCCATAATAGAACCTATACTCGTGTAAGGTCCCATTCAAAATATGACTGTAATGCTTATTACTGCCTTTAAAATACGAGTAAGAGCGATCAAATATCAAAGTTTATATATAGGAAAACCTTCCGAAATTCCGAAATTTTACGACATATGTTATCTATTAAACAAATGAAGAAATTCTCGTTACATTTTACCTTTAATTTACACTATGAAAAATCGTTTAGAACTTTATTTATTTAAAAACTATAAAATTCTCTATTCGAACGACTCAAGTTGTAATAATCATACATTATAATTGCAGCCGGTTTTGGCATTAATATTTCACTCGTTCTATCTGCTTCAATTTCAATGCAATGCTTATTATTTGACTGTAATTTATCCAAATATAAAATAATTGTAGAGTCTTCATTTTTACTCTCAATTCTATGTATAAGTGCATGCTGTTCTAATGATAAACTTCTATTCGGTTCAGATTTGAAACCAGAAGGTAAATTTGCTTCCATTATAACCATATTGGTAGTGGTTTCATTTAACATATTCGAATCGGCGTGGTAAGTAAAACAAACTTCAAAATTAATTTCGACATCATTTTTAAATATTGTTTTGATTTGAATATCGAAATAACGAAATTCTTGCTCATTCAAAATATTATATTGATGATTAAGTTGTATCAAAGAAGCACCAATGCCCTCCATTTCGAAAGTTATATGGCGTGTGGTTTTTGGTAACTGAAACATTATGAATTATTATTTTTAAGAATATACATATGTATATTATTATAGAAATCTCTCTATATATACCTCATGTAGCTGCAAATCTAAAATATTATTGGAATTAACAAAGAATTCACTCTTTGCCACTTCAGTGCCTTCCAGATCTCTGGCGCTATATGAAATTTTTAAATCTACATTTTTAAGATTTTTGTATATTTCTGAAAATTTCACTAAGGCTTCCATGCCAACTACAGTATCGTAAGAAGATGTAAAGCCTCCATTAGCATTACGTTGTTCTATCAGCCACTTTAAGATTGAAGTATGATCTCCAGGAGTTTCCAGCACAGCCATTGCAGAATATGCTGTAATTTCTATGTCATTGGCCAGATTTTGATCATCTGATGTCCACCATTTGAGACCACTTTGCTCTTTAGAAAGCGAGTTAAGTTGCTTTATTAAAGGGTTGGCTCTGGGATGCTCAGCACGTTTTAAAGCAGTTGTTATCAATGCTAATGCGTAAATATCATTTGTATAATTTAAATTAGAATTTAGAAATTCAACACCATTTTGTATGATCTCTTGATATTGTAAAGCATATTTCTGAAATTAAAAATGAATATTTATTTATAAATTTTCTAAATAAAGCTCAAAATCCCTTATAAACTTACTTCATTTTCTAAAAACGCCAACAATATGAAGGCAGTAAGTCCATGTGGATTTTTATGTTTAGGGTTTAATAAATAGCCCGTATAAGGAAACTCTCCATTGGATTTTTGCTGACCGGACAAATACTCCAAAGCAGATTCAATTACTTTTGTTTCAATTGATATAAATTGCGAAGCTTTAAGAAAGTAACGCACTACATAAGCGCTAAGCCATGTACTGGGTTCCTCATCGATTCCATTGCCAAAAACGCTGTAACCACCATTTTCATGACGAAATGATAATTGTTGTTGGTAAGCGACTTCGATTGATGATCGTAGACTTTCAACTAAACCCTTCTCTTTCGTTAATTTGTCATTTGCTTTAAGATATTGCAAAATTAAAATTCCAGGTGCAAAATTGACCATATTTTGCTCACCACAGCCGGTGGGCATTTGTATTAGATCATTAAAATTCTCTACTGAGGGCACTAAATAATGACCACCTACAGAAAATGTAATATAATCGGAATCGGTTACACTATCTAATGGCTCGTTGATACTAGATGATGATAATATTTTCTCCCCTTTTGGAATACTTAAATAAGAAGCTTGATTAATTTGTTTAGGCACACCTTCTGGTTCAACTTTAAGTTTCTGCAAAACGGCGTCCGAATACATGGAACTTGAGGCTGTAACTTTAAGACTTATTTCACCGGCTTTTATGGGATATATTAGAAATTTCACTGTCTTGGCTTTATCCTCTGGCACAGTAATTTGCTTCATTTGTTGCTGATCATCATTTGATTTTTCTATACCCTGTATTGTTGATTCCATAAAATCGTAGTCTCCGTCATTATTATGTAGAATCACTTCTGTGTCAAGAGTCTGATTGGAATAATTAAATATTGTTATGGGTATTGTCACAATTTCACCACGTTTCACAGAGGTTGGTAGATTTAGCGATATGAAAAAGGATTGTATGGTCGTAATATCTGTGGGTCCATTTACAATTCCAAATCCTGTTATATCATTGTTTGAAAATGCCGTTATGCGCCAAGTGGTTATAGCATCAGGAATTTGTAGATTTATATTGGTATCAGTTTCGTTGCTGGAAATAAAATTGTATTGTAAATTTAAGGTTTTTTAACTATATTTTTATACCCTACACCACTATAGTGGGGAGGGTATTATACGTTTGTGCTGATGTTTGTAACACATAAAAATATACCGATCGATTCAGAATCGTTTTTTGAGTCGATTATGACATGTCCGTCCGTCCGTCTGTCCGGCTGGCTGTCCATGTAAACCTTGTGCGCAAGGTACAGGCAATTTTCAAGATAATTTGATGAAATTTGGACCAAGCATGTTTTTTGGCACAGGGACGAAGCCTGTTGAAAATGGTTGAAATCGGTTCATTATTTCACCTAGCCCGCATACATTAGTACCTCCCGATTTTTGCTTTTTATGCCATAATTACGTCAAATATGCTATTATCTCTCTAAAAATTGGCACAAATAAGTTTTATATAAGTATAAATGACACTACAGATTTTCGTAATGATCGCCCCTTATTTGACCCTAGCCCCCATACAAACCGCCCTTCAAAAAATGTCTTAAACGTCTAAAATTGACTTGTAACCATTTGTATCGCAATGAAACTCAACAAAACTAACTGTTATTTAAAAATATATCCTTTTCCCAAATTTAATGAGGATCGGCCCATGTTTGACCTATACTCCTATATAAAGCCTCATTTAGAAAATTTGTTTTTTATCAGAAAATTGTTTACATACTTTGCAATTAAGGTAAAATTCAACATCAAAGTTACTTTATGAAAAATACAAATTTTAAAAATATACTCATGTAGGGCATTATATGGTCGGCCATGCCCGACTATACTTTCCTACTTGTTTGTCTATTTCTCTATTTTAAATAATTTAATATTATTCATGAAAGTTTGGCTGAGTTATTATCCAAACACTACAGATAAGCAATTAATTTCCTAAAACTTTAAAGGGATTTGAGCTTAATATGATTTTTGTTAAGAGTGGTTATAAGGGAGGCTAGGGTCGATTATTGACTGGTTCTTGTGAAAGTTTGTAAAGGGATTTTTGTTCTTATAAAACTTGTCTATATAGGATTTTACTATACGGGTCTTCATAAGCAGTTATGAATGTTAAAGGCATTTTCTAAAGGGGTAATGTTAAAGTTAAAATTATATATTCTCACTTACTCCTGGCTCTACATACTTAATTTCATGTTTCTAGGTTCAATATTATAGAATATTCAAAAAGTAACTTTTGAAGAACAAAAAAAAAATACCAAGAAGTCCCATTTTATAGGTTTATAGGTTCTCATTTACTTAGGGCTCTACATGCTTAATTTTATGTTTCCAGGTTTAATATTATAAAAAATTTAAAAAGTACTTTCTGAAGAATGAAATGTCTGACAGAATTGTTGAAGATTTGGGTCCCGAATGTATCTGAGGTCTTCAGCACACTGATTTCAATAAACCTACAGACAGACGGAGCTTATTCAACTCCGCTATCTATAAGGACTTAGAATATACATATCTACTTAATAGGGTCAAAAAATCATATTATAGAAATAACAAACGGAATGACAAGCCTATATATACCCATCTCACGTAGGTGAAAGGTGTAAAAGAATATTCTTCCAAAAAAAATTCCCATGCATTTTTCTGATTTTCAACATCCCCATCAATATCAAACTTACATTACAAAGTTTTCAAAGATCCATGTTTCAGGAAATTTTTCACGAAACCGAACTACAGTTGGAGTAAATGGGTGTGGCTCTCCATTTGCTGTTAAAAATACACACTAAAAATATAACTACTACATCAGTATTGTTAATGAATTCGCTTACCAAATCGATTTTCAAATGGATAGTGAGCATTGGTTAAGGTTAACAAACCAGATATCAAGCCAGGATATACTGTAGCCGCAATGGGTGTATACGAAACTTCATTGGCCAAATCGCTCAGAATTTCAGGTCCATTTAAATCATATGATTTATCCATTAAATATACACCCAAATCCACCGCTAATATACCGACAAATGACTTGGGTTGCGCATTTATGGCAATTGTAACATTTTCACCAGGTTTCACTTGTTTGGGTGCGGATAGCGAAATCTGTTTATAAGTATTTGTGTTGTTTGTTTAAGATTAATATGTATTACTCTTGGTTCTAACTAAATACCTGATTTTCAAATTCGTAGGGAAAACTAAGACGCATTTCTTCATAACGTAAATTACCTTTATGTATGTAATACACATAAATATAGGACCTGGGTATCATTTCAATTGAGGGCGTAATGGTTATGATATGCGATTTTTGATTAGGCGGTACTTTTATATGCTCCATTTGTATAAGACTGGCATGACCCATTATCGTGTACATCAAATAAGGAATGTTGACAATAGAACTGACCTCAATTTGAACAGGTTTTCCAAGTTTTAGTCTAAAATTTTATGATTTAAGGAGATTTAAATCTTTGTGTTTGTTGAAATCTCTAACATATTCTTACCTTTGATCCAGCAACTTAAGTCGACAATAGTATTCTCTGTTATTTAACATTGAATATGAACTTGTATAGATGTTGGGTAGAATTCCTTTGGAATCCTTATATTGAAAATTATGCTTAGCCTTTGGTTCATGTTCAAATTCGAATATTGCTACACCATTTTCATCTAAAAATGTTTCATACGTTTTACTGCCATGTGCCATAGTAACTGGGGTACTATGATCCAAAACTGCAGCTCCAGTCCAATGTTTAACATAAACAGCCAGGCGATAAGGTTTATTATTTTCAAATTCTATTTCATTGTATGGTATTTCAATGTTATATCGTTGTTTACGTAAATTTATATATTTGCTTTCTTCCTCAGTTCTACCCGTGTGCTTATCGGTTAGTTTTACCTTGACCTTTAGACTTTCGATGTTATTAATATTCGTTTCATTTTTAATATTGAACTCGACAAAACTTAAACTTTCTATATCAACATATTTGATTTGTAGGACCACTAAGTCATCCAACAATTCAACTGTAGCATTACCCTCTACATTTTTGTTAAATGTATATTTTCCAAAGATCACAACTTTAATATAATCATCCTCTGGGAAAACATTTGATGGTGTTTTTAGATATACACTGAATATCGGTAAAGTATAGTCTAATATTTTTATGGTCTTGCAGTCGGAGAAATCATATTTTCCACCTAGAACTGCTTTAATTTTCCAAGTTCCTAAAATGGGATATTTGGACAATTTAAATTGTCCGGTAAAAACTCCATGTGTAAGGGAAATGTTATGAAATAGTTTGACACGATTTTCTTCTTTATCCTAAAAATACATAGAAGTCCAAATTTTACACACATGTAAGAATATAAAAATATACAAACATCGAATTTATAAAACTCACCCATATCTCAACGCTTATAGGTTCATGAATATTTAATGGTCTTGTGTGTTCATCTAATATCAAAACTCGCAAATTAACTACATCTTGAGGTTTATAAATGGCCTTATCAGTTTGTATGTAAATTTTTGGACCAAAGTCTGCACGAACATTTAAAATACTTTCATTTTTAAAACTGCAACCAGTTAAGCCGTCAGCTATTAACTTGTGACCTCCGTGCAATAATTTTTTGGGCAAAAAGTCTATTAACTTTGATTCATACGGTTGTAATTCGATATCTTTAAACTCATTATAACTGGGTCCCTCAATGGTAATGCGAATAGAACAAGGTCCACTTGCTTCATGTAGAGCAACAAGAACAGAATATTTACGATTAGATTGTATAACACCGGGAGCATTTATCGAATAGTAACTGTTAAATAAATGAATTGTTAATTTGGTCTTAATTAAATTAAAACGTAATTTCATTATAATTAAAATGATTTAACACCTTTCGCAGGTTACTGCAACTATCGTATACTGCATAAGCAAGATCGAAGTAATCCAGTGACATAACATAGTGCAAATATTAATTTGATTCTCAAAAATTTTAAATAATTAAACCGTTTCTCACATCCACTCATTCTTATTTAGAAATAATGAATGAATTTGAATAAAAAATACATATAATTTTTAAATATTTTGATTATTTAATGGGATCTTAATTTACCAGTTTATACATATATATACCCTACATCACTATATAGGTATTGCTCCTGCACCCCACCGTGGTTATTTTTATACTTACCATCAAAAAAGTATATTGATTTTGTCACTCCGTTTGTAACACATCAAAATATTGGTCGTATACTCACAAAAGTATATATATATATTCTGGGTCCTTATTAAATTCTAAGACGATCTAGGCATGTTTGTCCATCTGTCCAAGATAGGGTTCGAACGGAAAGAGCTAAAATTTTCCAAAAATATTTCTTTTAGGTAAGATTTGTTTTGTATTGCACATCGGCAATATAGGTAGATGATTTCGCAAAGCTCCCATACAAGCTTTAACAGTCATAACGGGTTTAAAAATACGAATATAGCGATGAAATTCAACATTAATAAGTTCTATGTGAGCCGAAATCTCTCTACCAAATTTTATGGGGATCGGTCCATAAAGGACCCTACCCCTTCAGAAAATTGCTTAAACACTCATTACTGTCTTAAAAATATGAGTACAACGATGAAATTCGACACAAATAAGTTTCATACAAGCCAGAATGTCTCTATCAAATTTAATGAAGATCCCCCATATAAGGCCCCCTTCAGAAAATTACTTTAATACTCATTACCGGCTTAAAAATACGAGTGTTGCAATGAAATTCAACATAAATAAGTTGTATATGAGATCGTTCCATAATTGACCCTATCCCCCATATGATACCCCCTTCAGAAAACACTTTAACACTCATTACTGGTTTAAAAGTACGTGTAAGATTCATACAAGCCGGAATGTCTCTATCAAATTTTATGGGGATTGGTATATAATTGGCCCTTCGTCCCACAGAAGGTCCCCTTCAACAAATTATTTTAACTTAAAAACACGATAAGTAAGTTTCTTACGAGCAAAAATCTCCCTACCAAAATTTATCGTATCACCTTGATTTTATTAGAATCGGTCCATAATTGAACCCCTCATATGTATGTAAAGCCACTGTGAGAAAATTACGAGTACTTCATCGTTTTACTCGCAATAAAAAGTTTTATATTATAATTCTTCATTACGAATTTTATGATGATTGGTCTATAACTTAACTTAGGCAACTAAACAAAATCTATGTATAAAATAAGTATCGTTTCATAATTGTCCCTACCCCCATATAAGGTCCCCTTCAGATAATTACTTTTACGCTTATGACTGAATTAAAAATACGAGAACAGCAATGAAATTCGAAACGAATAAGTACTATACGACCCAACATCTATCTACCAAATTTTACGACAATCGGTCCACAATTGATCCTACCGCCAGAGATACAAGCCGATGCGAAATGATCGGCGGCGGCGGCGCAACCATTTTGGGTCGGCGGCGGCGGCTTATTACAGAAAATATCGGCGGCGGCTAAATTGTCGGCTCAATTTAACTTTTTCTTTAGAAATTGACCTTATAAGGTTTATTATATTGAAAAATCTTTGTATAATGGTCTGTTACATAGAAACCTGTCTCTATATAAGTTTTTTTCTGCAGAAAATGGACATTTATAGTAGTTTTCACTATTTTAATATTAGCACAATATTGTGTGGCAATTTGCCATAAGAATTTAAAATAGTGGCAACTCCTTTCAAATTTGTGAAATTATGTTCTGAAATACATGTGCAATTCTAATCTTTATCAGCGGCTAGCTTTTGAGCCGAAAGAAGTCGGCGGCGGAGCGGCTTGCAAAATATAACCGGCGGCCAACTGCCGCCGATTTGAGCCGCCTCGGCTTGTAGCTCTGCCTACCGCCCGTATATATTCATGGTTTAAAAATTGGATAAAAATATTTAGTTTTTAAAAATTAATATTTTGTTAATTCGAAAGAGCACGTCCATATTTGACTTAAGCCCCATTACAAATATTTCCCTGATATTTACAGAGGAGCATTCCTTTTACGGCTTACGATTTGACGGTGGGTATATAAGATTCGTCATAGCCGAATATAACACTCTTGCTTGTTCCGATCGATTTCGTTCTACCTTCTTTAGATTATGTGTCCATGGACATTTTTGTGCACCATGTACATGTGCCAAAGTTCATATGCCGTAATGTCCAAGGATATTATTTCATTATAAAATCTGGCGTTCTGTTTGTATTTTTTCCTAAATATACTTACTCTGTCATAGTTTCCCAGAATATTGATCTATACCTTAAAGTATACCGATCGAGTCAGAACCACTTTCTGAGTCGGTAATGTCATGTCAGCCTGTCCGGCTGGCTGGTCATGTAAACTTTGTGCACAATTTTCAAAATAATTTGATAATTTGCGCCTCTTATGTAAAACTAATACTGGAGAATTTTGTCCCCCCGGGGCATGTTTCCTTGATGAAAGACCCTTATCTTGGAGTATTGCAATCTCGAGGTAAATAAGTGCTACCAATACCTCTAGTCTACCGGGACTATAAACTGGTGATGTCTCTTCACTTCACGGCTAGTCCTTGGTATGATTTGACATGGGTTCTTACCAGAGAAGCACATAATCTGGTTCTACGTGGGGTCAGTTAGTTGAGGTTCCTTCAGGATCCACGTAGTGGCGGTGGTTTAAACCCAAATTCGCGCGAAGAGTGAGTTGCGGTTAAAGGACTGATGTACGGTAAAGTCTATATTTCGGGATAAGTTCGGTGCTGTTGCCGAATGACAACAGATACCCCACAGAGGCGTGACTTTGGGAATAAGCGTAGGAAATGAGTTGGTGTTAATTGCATATGATATAGGATGAATGTAGGGGTATACGGCACTCATCCGACCGTATACCTAGAGTAAGTGTATCGTATGTTGTTCTATTATGAGTGTGTCGGATGAATGAGAAGTGTACAAGTGATATACCATTGAATTTTTCTTCCTTGTCCAGGTATGTTCAGAGTAAACTCTGTTCATACCAGAATTACCACACGAATGTCGAGAGCTTAACGTGAACACCTGCCATGACGGTCTTATTTCACGGTGGTCTTTTCCATCGACTGGGTAGACTAGAGACGGTCTACGACGCCCCCCTGAATCCTTCTATGAAGAACTCAGGTGACAATTTTTGTACATGGCTGAGCCGGTCTATGTACAAGCACTTTGGCGAAAAACTCGAGCTATCTAATCTCTTGCCATAGTAGCCACGGAACTCAACCATATGTCGAGTAGCATGAAACAATATGAATCCTGTTGAGATGGCAACAGCACCGAGAACTTCCCTGAAGTAAAAGGTCTACTAAATCAGTACTAGTCTCCTGTCGGCCAGAGGAGTCTTTCCCGATCGTACACCAATTACATCAGTTCCATTCTCAAACAATAAAGAACAATCTACGGAATGACAGGCAACTACCAAGGGTCAACCTGAAAATTCCCCAACATATACTGGAGCCCTACTACGCGAAGAGTAAGAGATACTCAACGGGTTCAGGAATCCAGCATCCCAGAATTACCACAGTGTGTCACTGTGAGTAAGAACAAAGTCTCGGCTTATTTGATGGATTCGTACTAGACTGTTCTTAAGGCTAGCCAGTGGATGAAAAAGACCACCGTAAAAAAAGACCCTCGGGACAGGTGTTCACGTAAAGCACTTCGATATTCGTATAGAATTTTGTAAATATCTACCTTATTTCAAGAGGATCTGATCATGGCCATGCTCTACTATATAGATAGAAGATAACTTGAAAAACTATAAAAATGGCATGCATTTAAAAAAATAGCATGTCTAAGACGCCCTATTATAATTCTGAATGTTTCAATGTTCCGAATTCTAAATCTCCAAACGAGAGCATCAACCACTATTTTCTTCAAAAAAAGATTTAAGATATTTTGAAATCTTCTTAGTTAAATCCAAGTCTATAAAGGGAAAAGTTAGTTCCTTCAATTTTCGCTATAGAAAAGTACACTTTGGTTCAAATTTATTTTTGGCTTGTGTAAATTATTTACTAATCGCTAACTCGTGCCGTAGTACAATAACCTATGTATTCAAATCTAAAGAAATGCAAAACAAAATTTATAAAAACTTTTCCACGTAATAATTAAGCGATTTTGAACGTAATAAAATCTGGATTCAATTAAAAGAAAAAAAAATTTTTTTAATTTATTTTTCAACATTATAAAATTGTGTATTAGAACGCGTTAAATTATAATAATCATAAACAATTATAGCAGCCGGTTTTGGTTTAATTACATCACTTATTTTTTCGGCTGCAATATTCAAACAATTCTTAACATTTGCCAACAAATTATCGAAATATAAAATGATTGTGGAATCGGAATTTTTCGATTCGATTCTTTGTATGGATTCATTGTTGTCAATATCGAATTCCGATTCGGCATCTGAACGAAAACCTGAAGGTAGATTAATCTCCATTATAACCATATTAGTGGTAGTAGTTGTCAATTCCGAGGGCATTTGATAAGTAAAGCAAATTTCTACATCTAATTCATGGGGATTTAGCATTTTTGCTTTGGGATTTATTACAAAGTGACGGAATTGATTTTCTTCAATTATGTTGTATTGATAGGAAAGTTGTATTAGAGATTGTCCAGTACCTTTAGCCTCGAAACTTATATGGCGGGTGGATTTGGGTAACTAAAATTGAGAATAAATAATTAAGACACCGATGAATAAATAGAAAATATAAGTTTTACCTCATGCTGTTGCAAAATTAAAGCATTATCCGGTTCCACTTTAAAATCCCTGTACTGCATATCAATACCTTCCTTATCTTCCGCATGATAACGTATAGTCAAATTAACATTATTAAGATTTTTATATTTTTCTGAAAATTTCACCAATGCCTGTAAACCCACCACCGTATCCTGTGTCGACTTAAAACCTCCTTGAGCATTACGTTGCTGTATTAACCATTTTAGTATGGGAGTATAATCGCCTGGTGTTTCCACAAGGGCCATTAGGGCATAAGCTGTTATCTCAACATCATTTGCTGTATTTCTATCACCACCCGACCACCACATGAGACCATTGGCATCGGTTTTACTTCGTTGTTTTAATTTCTCTACGACACTATCAGCGTTATTATTTCTGGTCATTTTGAGAGCACATGCCACAATGGAAAGAGCATAGACGTCTTTGATATGATTTAAGTTAAAATTGAGAAATTCTAAACCTTTTTTAATGGTATTTTGATATTTAAGAGCATATTTCTGAAAATAGAAAATTAGTTTTTCGGAAATGTTAATAGGATTTTGAGGCCGGATTTTCTTGAATAGAATCGCTTTGGAATGAAGTGCATCATTTAAGAATAGGGGTTTATTTATGTATTTGGGTCCTTATGAGATTCTAAGTCGATTTAGCTATGATTGTCCGTCTGTTTATTGAAACCACGAAATACCATAAGTGGGAGGGACTAAAGTTCAACAATACCATCTCTGCTAAATTCCATTAGAATTGGTCTATAATCGACCCAATCAGTTTTATAGCAAACCAGTCAAATGCAACGCTTTCTCAAACTCAATAAAGTTAGGTCTGTAATTGCCCCAAGTTCTATGTATTAGACAAATAAATTAAACAGGAAATAATAGTTCGTTACAAATAATCTAAGCCATGTGAACCTAGAAAACCTTCCGAAATTTAAATTCACGTCACATTAACGTTCTCAATACTTACACGATCTTCCAGAAAGGTTAACAGCACAAATGCCGTTAGTCCATATTGATTCTGATGTGTGGGACTAAATAGATAACCCTTACGTAGAAACGCTCCATTTGGCACTTGCTGATTCGCCAAATAATCCAAATCCTTTTCTATAATACGCGGTTCAACGGGAGAATTTCTGGCGGATTTTATAAGAAAACGTACAACATACGCTGTAAGCCAAGTACTGGGCTCACGATCTGATCTCTCACCAAAAACACTATAACCACCATTTTTATGACGAAACGATAACTGTTGTTGATAACCCGTATCGATAAATGAGCGAAGTTTTCTAACCAACTCCTTTTCCTTTCCTAATTTACCATTGACTTTTAGATAATGTAATATTAAAATATTGGGAGCTAAGTTCACCATATTCTGTTCACCACAACCAGAGGGTAAATGAACTAAATCTTGTAAATTATCTAAAGTTGGCACTAAGTAATCACCACCCACCGATAAAGTGATATATTCCGAATCGGGTATTTTTTCCTCGGGAAAGACCAAAAAGAAGAATGATGAAAACGTTTCATCGGGTCTAACACTTAAGTACATGGCTTTATTATGATATTTTATCACACCTTCTGGTTCCACTTTAAGTTTTTGCACAATAGCATCGGTAAACAGGGAGTTTGTGGCCGATATTTTTAGGCTTATTTCACCCAATTGTATGGGATTTATATAAAATATAACAGTTTTCCCACCTTCTGAAGGTACCTGTATTTGTTTGGTTTGTTTTAGGTCATCTTCAGATTTCTCAGCTTCCTGTAAATTTGATTCCATAAAATAGAATTCTTGATTTTCATTATACATAACAATTTGAGTGTCTAGAGATTGTTCGTGATAATTAAATATTATTATGGGTATGGCCACAATTTCACCACGTTTTACGGAGTATGGTAAGTTAAGGGTTATGAAAAATGGCTGTATGGTGGTAATATCAGTGGGTTCATTGACTATACCAAATCCCTTAATATCATTATTAGAAAATGCCGTTATACGCCAAGTAGTTATAGTATCGGGTATTTGTAAAGTTAACTGGGTATTGCTGTCATGTCTGAAATGTTAAAGGAGATTTAGAATTAAAAAAAAATATTTAAGGGTTTATTATTACATTTCTATATTTTGAAAAATCCATGTTTCCGGAAATTTACTACGAAATTTAGGAGGAAAACTGCTAGCTGGTCTAAACTCAGTGCCGGCTGTAAAACTAAAAGTTAAGAAATATTTACTGAAATATACTTTGACACAACTTACAAAGAGTACTAGAAAATGGATAATGTGCATTGGTTAGGGTTATTAGACCGGAAACAATACCCGGATATATGGCTACTGCTTTATTCGTATACGATAGGTCATTAGCCAATTCAAAAAGTATTTCATGTTTTTTCAAATCATAACTGGGGTCCAGTAGAAAAACACTTAAATCCACTGCCAAAATACTAACATACGAATTGGGCTCAGCTTTTATCTCGATAGTAACCTCTTTGCCCGGTGCTACTTC